ATTCAACACCACTTATCTCAAGGTCTTGCCTTCTTATGGCTGGAATATTACTTTTGACATACACCAGAATTCCACCGTGATTATCAACAATCCTGTCTTTTCTGAAAGGTGAGGAAAAATTTTCAAAAGAGATCGAATCAGATTCTATATTGTTGCTAAGCCACGTTTCTGTAAAGGAGATGACGTCGAAGTGCTGTAGTTCCCCTTGTAAAATGTCTCTTTTGTGGAAAAAACTATGTACGTTATAATGAACCAAAGATAATGAATTTTTGAAGCTATCTAAGATATCATTTACACTTGATGTAGAAGATGAAGAATAAGAAAACTCAGAGCTATTTGTGTCGGGTCCGGGATTTGTATGGATATCACCTGATCTTTGCAGAAGAATATATGCCCAAAGTTTAAAAGACAGGAATACAATAACACCAAAAGAAATATTATGGAACCAGAAAGATCCTATCCTCACCCTGTGTGTTATTTGACTATCAATGATAATTATGTCACTCCAGGACTATAGATTTTGTAGGGTGAGGTACTCCGTAGATAAAAGTGACAAAGATAGAGAAAGGAAAGAGGATAAGGGACATAGAATAATGAAAGTAATATATATACAATACCAATAATAGGAAAACATAAACACATTGTCCTATTATACAAGATGTTCACGACAATATTAATTTTATATGGATCAAAAATTATTATAACTATATTGGTACATAAATTATAATTAATTTTGATATGATATTTTAAATTTGTATTTACCAATTTGTGACACTTGAGGACACGCAGGCTATATAATTGGAATTTACTATTATGACAGTTATGGATGCACAGTCTATATATACATTGTTTTGGCCGAAGATTAGTCACCTGTGAAATTTCAAATAAACACATGCGTTATGAATGGAGTTACATGGCTTTTACTACGCTATCACACGCTATGAATGAAATTTGTGTACTCGATTACTACTTTGTTTACACGTGTGTTCTGTTCTGTAACGATATCAAACATCTACTCCAAAACCGGGAGAGACCGGACAATAAACGTGTGGTCACTAGTATCCCGGTCAAAATAGACCGGGAGAGACCGGAATTACCGATAGGAGTACATCCCTCTATAAATAGATTTTCGGAATATTTAGGTCATCAACTCATCATTCTATTTTAATTAACATACCATGATAACCCACTGTGTACTTCAAAATGATAAATAAAAAAACCGAAGAGACGGAAAAGGTTATTGCATTTGAAAATTGTTACATTGCGAAATCCTCCAGTTCGCTATTCATTGTACATATCGCGACATTTCATTTTTAATTAATAATAATCAAGCACCCTCATACCGATCGGAATGATCGGCTTTTATTATGACCGACTAAAAGGCTCGAGAAGTTGCTGTCGCCCTTTCACAAAATCTGATTTCATTCCATAAAGGGGCGCCGCGCTTCGGCGCGGACGCCAATAACGCGTTATTTAAACATTGCGTTCAAGTATTACTTTACACTAGACGGACAATTATCAAACACGCTTTACAACTCATTACTCTTGACAGTCAATTAACCAACATGTGCTTTCCATCGTATCAAACAAATTTAATCTACGACAAGGGGGCCCAATTTTAAAGGGTTTAATTTTTAAAAAATTTTTTAAAAATAATCTCAGATATTTAACCCTAGATTTCTTTTTAAAATGTAATTTTTTAAAATCTTTTCAGCTGAAGCGCAAAACTCAACCGGGGTCCAAGCCCCAAAACAACACCCCCTCGTCTTTTTCTGGAAAAAACAAGACTGTGGGTATGACAGCACGTCGACTTTATTTGGTTTATAGTAAAAGAGCCTTGAAACGAAAAAATTTTCAAAGTTCAAAAAAAAGGTTTTTTAAAAAATGGGCCCTTAAAGAGAGTTATCGCTCACAAAGAAAGTTTTTTACTTTTTCAACTTTTTTTAAGTATAATCCCAAAATGGAATAAAAAAAATTCGCAAACTTTAAAAAAAATATCAAGCCCAAAAAAAAGGGCATGGTTCTGTCAAAATGGTTGATAGTGTTACCTCCTCCTGTCTATAGGTTAGGTGCATGATAGCACCGATTTATAAATCCGTGATGATAGTTAACAAGTGTGCAAAGTTTCAAAGCCATATGTCAAAAGACTTTGAAAATAAAAAGACTTTAAAAAGACTTTGAGCTGGTACGCAATCTTTAACATAATTTATTAAGTCCAAAAAGAGCATAACTCTGTCAAAATGTTTGATAGCGTTACGTCCTCCTGTTTACAGGTTGGGGACATAATGGTGAACAATCATGCTTCACAATCGTGTTTAAACCATATGCCAATGGACTTGAAAATATTCGAGGTGGTACGCAAACTTAAACGTAAATTTTAAGTCGAAAAAGGGGTTCTGTCAAAATGGTTGATAGTGTTACCTCCTCCTGTCTATAGGTTAGGTGCATGATAGCACGGATTTATAAATCCGTGATGATAGTTAACAAGTGTGCAAAGTTTCAAAGCCATATGTCAAAAGACTTTGAAAATAAAAAAGACTTTAAAAAGACTTTGAGCTGGTACGCAATCTTTAACATAATTTATTAAGTCCAAAAAGAGCATAACTCTGTCAAAATGTTTGATAGCGTTACGTCCTCCTGTTTACAGGTTGGGGACATAATGGTGAACAATCATGCTTCACAATCGTGTTTAAACCATATGCCAATGGACTTGAAAATATTCGAGGTGGTACGCAAACTTAAACGTAAATTTTAAGTCGAAAAAGGGGCATAATTCTGCCAAAATGCTTGATAGTGTTATCTCATTCTGTATACACGTTGGGTTCATGATGGTAGACAAGTGTGTAAAGTTTCAAAGCCATTTGTCAATTGACTTTAAAAATATTTGAGGTTGTACAAAAACTTTAACATAAGTTGTATCGCGGACGCTCGGGTGACTAGGATAGCTATACTTATTCTTGTAAAAAATAATTTCAAACATAGAGGATTCAGAAATTTCTCTACTTTAGAAACTTCCTAGACCTATACATCACAAACACACAGGTGGTTGACCCTGGTAATTTTTTTTATTTGGCTTACAGTTTGTATCCCTGTAAAACATTTTGATTTTACCGAGCATGCTGTTTAAAAATACTGTTTTAGCAAAAATGACCGCCTTGGCATTTTAAATCAACAGTATGTGATTTCTGGCAATATTTTAGAAATTGGCATGTGTCATATTTAAAGGAACAAAAACAGATTTGATCCTGAAAATACATTTTAACGACAACCAGTCATTTAAATTCAGAATAGTCACTATATGCAAGAAATCCTTCCTGGCATTAAAACATGTGGCTTCAATTAGTGTAGCGTGCTACCTTACTGATATTAACAAGTATATATCCTCCATCGCTTTTAAAGCAACTTCGTTGGATTGATTATACAAAGAGCCATTCATAGAGTTATTTATATTTCAATTAATAAAGCTATTATTCATCGAAGACTTTCAGCGGCAAAGAGTTTGCTATCTTTATTGGTAATGAAACGAAACTTCCAACATGAGCAGTGTCCGGCCAAAACGTGCTAATATAATAAATAAATGACTTCGTTTGGTATAAAAAGTTTGAAACAATATTTTCATGAAAATCTGAAATGTCATTTTGGTCATTCTAAAATATGTTACAATGAAAGGATTTTAAATTCAGCCGGGACACTTCACATGGCCAATATACACTGTCCTCCAAAAGTTCCGTCACACACAACATTTTTTAAGTTTTTTGGCATTACTTATTTAAAACAAAGTTTTATATTATTTTTCATAACTTTCATGTATACATTATATCCATATTTCAAGATATTAATCAACAAACTATACCCAAAATAACAAAAATACACAACTCAACAAAAACAGAACATAACACCACTTTGCTAGATTTCATATAATGGAAATCAACTTCTGTCAATACTTAGTGTAGCCACCATTAGCAGCTAAGACAGCCTGAACACGCCTAGGCATGCTATTCACTAGTCTCTCACAACGTTCCACTGCAATTTCCTCCCAATACTGCCTCACATTCATCTCCAGTTCGTTAAGATTTGCATTTCTTCTTGTTTTAAGAGCTTTCTTGATGTCCCGCCACATATTTTCAATCGGGTTCAAGTCTGGAGACTGAGGAGGCCACACTAAACTTCGAATTCCATTTGTATTCTTCCATTCTTTAAAAACCCTTGCCCTATGACATGGTGCGCCATCGTCCTGGAGCCAGAAATTACTTCCATAGCCCAAGTAGTGGGCCGATGGCACAGCACTATTGCCAAGAATATCAATGTATCCAACGCACCCAATTTGGTCTGCAAAGTATTTGATATTGACGCCTTGATCATGTAAAACCTTGATGGTGACCCGTTGTTCCTGAGTTAAAGCTACCATGATGACAATGTTGAAAACTTGATTTAATGTTCTCGTATAAACAAATAATAAAATGTTATTTCATTAAGGTTATGAAAAATTGTCAAACTGGATGAATGCTTTATGGAAGAGCTACTCTTTGCAATGATTTTGACCACCCCCAAAAAACTCATTATTCTGACCCATCTGACTGTTTTACTAAATTTAGAAGTTAAATTATTCTAAAAAAAGGGAGGTAATATGTAAATTATTATAATTTTAACCATTGAAGCATCTGTACTGATTACTCAAATAAAAATACTTAGGAAAAACAGTGAAAATAGGTGTATGAAGTAATTTTTGGACGGTGACACTTAACTTTAGTGCAAAATCCTTGCCCAGCATAACGTAAGGAATAACTAGCCATGGTAAAGCTATTGCTCTTTAACATTATGTTAGATAAGTGACAACTGAAATCAAATATTAAAGCCTACGATACATGAGATTTAACTTTCTTAAATCACGATTTCGACATTTGGTTCAAGATTCAGTTATTTTCAGTCCACTAGAATAAAGCTTTTAGAGTTCTATTGCAACGAAGTTATAGACTGTTGTCTTATCTATATTAAATCAGAGACACTAGGTGAACCATATAGATGCACATGTTTACGTCATGAAAGATGAGAACAAAGATCAAAGAGTAAGTACTATCTTAGGTTAAATACCTCACACAAATTCAGACATCAAGATGACAATAAAGACGATTATTGCTTTGATTTTTAATTTAGGTTTGCTTGTTTTCTTTGTTTATATTTTAATTGTGTAATTGCCACATGATTTCAAGGTGTGTATGTTCTGCAGTACGTACGATGCTAACGCTAAAAATATAACCTTATTAAGATAGCAACAAATGGTAACTTGATTTAATTTGAGTTGATTTTACTGCAGGCACTGAAACGCCGTCTTTGATTCCTTCTAGTAAGTTACACGCAAAACTAATACAAAAAATACACCAAGCTACTCATATTATGAACTCTTTTTATATATTAATCCTAAAATTTAAGTAATATTTGAGCCATCATTCCGTATCGTACTAGTATACATTACGGATTTGATTTCTGTTACGTTGTGTAATTTGCGAGCAGATACGAGGGATAAAAGTTCTATCGTGAAAAATGCATTTAAAGGAAATATTCTAATGCACTACCAGAATATCTAACAGAAAATAATACGTTATTGCCATTTTTTAAATTTCTATTTCAATTAGTTTAAACTTTGCCAAATGGCGCACGCTAAAATTTTGGTTTTCACCTGCATAAGATGTCTTTTTGTCGCCATTTCTGGAAATATACAATTTACAAGATATGAAAATTTCATCTTTTACACCGAATGCCTCAGGCCAACCATACTGTAGAATCTTAATTAAGTCACATGCTAACAAAATGAACAGTAAAATATTTCTAAAAGGGGCGCCTACGGGGTACGCCATTCGCCATTTTCGACGGGTTACTTTTATGTAGATTTGATGTACGAAGTTCGAAATAACAACTCTGCCTCCCTTCGGCATATGCACGCCTTGAAGGAACAGAGGATTGATGATCCTCTGCAACGCGTAAGAATATCTGGAAAAAAGTAATCCCTTGGAAGCATTAAAAACTGCAAAACTACATGAATATTGCAGAGACTCGGTTTGTTTGAAATTTATACATGCATTTTTAACACTTTCCGCGATCTAGAAGATATCCTTCACATGAATAATTCTTATTTTGGTCACCTGGTTACTAAAATATATCCATGTGAACTTAAAATGAATAGAACTTAATCTTCAGACATTACCACATCTTTTTTTAGATTTGATTTAAACATTTCTATCATAAACAATACGATAGTAACTAAAATCTACGATAAAAGAGATGTTCTTTAACTAGCCACATTTAGATGGAGATTACCTCGTGCAACATCATATTTGGTATATATTTCCCAGTAAATTAGTATTGCTAGGGCATGCAGTCGTGTGAATGATTCTAATGAAAGCAATTTATTTATTACTGGCAAACTTCTTCAACAAGGCTTTCTCTATCATAAATTACGTAAATATTTTACAAAGTTTTACCATCGTAATTCAGATTTAATTTTAAAATTTAATTGCAATTTAAATACTCTTTTACGACAAGGTATTAGCAAGCCTGACTTTTATAGATATATTGTTTACAAACAGTAATTTTTCTGCTGTCTTCACTAAAATTATCAAACGTTGCATTAAAAGAGGTAATGACCTAATTATTTTAAGGCATACTGCATGCTTAATATTCAACCCTTTTACAGTTGGACGTATGCTTTCCTCTTTTAATTGCATCTGAAGACTCTATGATGGACAGTTCTGGACATAATTGTTTTGATTTTTGTCTTCTGTCTTGCATTGTCGGGTTCATGTAGGTGATTTTCTTGTTGCTCTGTCTTCCTTTAAGGCATCGAGTATTTTGTTATGGTCATTTGGTGGTACCTTTTTGTACATATTTACATGGTCATTTATGTGTTTTACGTATTTCGTCTAATGTAACCATGAAAATTGTTAGATTTTCACTTGGCGGGGATTTGTTTTATTTACTCTGTATCGTCATTTAGGAACATATTGGGGCTAAGAGTGAGGTTTGGCCCGCCTCAATTCCAGTGGCGTTATTACTACTGACCTCTCCAAGGCGGTACCCTTCTGTGTTCCTCCACATTTATGTTTTGTGTTTTTGTTAAATGTTTTGAATGTTTTCACGTTTTATTAGATCCTTTCTTGTTATATTGTCTTTAACGGTAGTATATTCTTCCAATTACCCCTCGTATTCCGCCACACCCTCATTGTTTCCTTACTACCCTTGTTCCTTTTATTCCTGTATTAGCCCCTTTTAGTTCTAAACATTTAACTTATAACATATCCTCACTCCTTTCACATCCCTTGTGTCTTCTCCAAGTTTTTTAGTTCGGTGCCTTCTGGGTGCCCTACTGGTGCGACTGGATTGTGTCGGGACTGCGTTCTTTGAACGTTGCTTTACCCTGTTGATCTTTTATTCATTCTTTTTATTCAGTTTGTACAGAACGCAAGGTCAACAGTTCGATGATAGATTTAAGGCAGCACGACTAAGCTTGTATGAATTTAGCTAACGGTGTCCTGGCGATAGCCGAGCAGAATTGTAGTATAAAGTAGGCAGATACGATGAGGAAGGGTAGAGGGTTCGTGAGCGTGTACAAAGAGAGGGTTTGAACGGCAGCATCCTTAGCTGGCTTAATAATATAATTAACTTTAGGATATATTGCCTGCTTTTTAAATTGACAGCTTATTTGTGGTATGCAAGCTTCATAACTTCTGATCTTTCAAAGTTTCATTTTGTTCAGTTCTGCCCAGTGTATTCTCCGTTAAGGGCACAAGCATTTTTACTTATGGATCGTGAAATTGCACAAAAGTGTCATATTGAAATTGCAAACAAGTGTCATATTGAAGGTTCCATGATCACAGCCGTATGAATACATCTGCGGATGTTTCTAAATTCAAAATTACATTTTTAAATGGTGGATTCTGCTTAAGCTGTTGCTAGGGTGCGTGGACTGTAAATTGCATTTTCCAGTAATGTCCATGAACAGGCTCAATGAACCAGATTCTGTAATATTTTTCAATTTCAATGTTTATGACTATCTCTAGGGATTCTCTCTAGGGTTTCTTTTCCAACTCTATTTCATCAGCCCTTATCAGGGCAAACCTTATTGTCACTTGTCACTTTACGTCAAGGAACTTATTAACCGCTGTACAGTGACCTACTTCCGGATCAAAACTATATTCTTTGCCTGGTTGAATATCGCCATTTTGTGCTTCAAAATTAACTTTTGAAGGGCATGACTGGTGATATGTCCATGGAGCTGCTTTTCGTGTGGATGGAAACTCATTAAGCATAAACTACATACATAGCTCGAAAGCAGTGTATAAGCTTCTTTTGGGTAAAGAATTTTTCTCTTAAAAGAAGAAAAAAAGCTGTACAAACAAAATACTACAAGCACCTTGTGTGGTTTTCTGCGAAATCCATAACCAGTGTATGTGATGTCGTTCGTATATAATTTTGCCATTAAAGTGATTTTGCAACACCCATAATTTACTTAACCAGTTGAAAAACAAAACAAAACGTAATTTGACTTTTATGTACAATTGCATTCACAGAGTTACGCGTATCTCTTATATTTATCAAATGAAACAATTTAAACTATAAAAAGCAACAGGGAAGAATAATGTGAATGCGTAAAGTTTGCAATTTTTAAACTATAAAAACCAACAGGGAAGGATAATGTGAAATGCAATTTTTCAAGGACGAACAGATTTTGCAGGCAGTTTCCTAGCGGAAATACTACCATATATAGTGACATCATTGTGATCTCACTTAAGGATTAACTAGAAAGAGAAAGGCGAGCACAGGTGTGCAAAATATGTGTAGGCTTATAGATTTATTTTTATCACCAGGGGCTGTTGTAGTTGCACCACCAGGAGGGCATGTACCAAGTCCAGCAGAAGTTGATGCTGCTATTGTCAATATAGAACTGCATTATAATGAGGGGTTATGTTTGGAGCTTTTGCTTGTGGACTGTGCCACTCATGTAATACAAGGAGACGAGAAAGTGTGCGGATCCGACGGAATTACATACGAAAATCAGTAAGAAACGCTTATTTAATTCAATTCGAGAATAGTCCGGTACCCTGTCCTATTATGTTTCATATTCGAACAGACACCCATTGAATTTATTTGCAGTCCAGTCTAGATAATACGTTTTACATCAAAGCATTACTATGGTCATCAAATAAAAAGGAGATTCAAAATTATTGTATGCCCTAAATTTTTCTTGCTAGCGTTCAATTGGTCTGGTTGGGCCCTTAATCAGATCATCTTATTTTCGTTCTAATGCACTATCAACCGACATTATGTGTAACGTACTTTTGTACTTTTTTTAATGAGGGCTAGACAGCAACATGAAATTTGGTATTGATACCTTCACGAAAACCCATAAAGTAATTCTATTTTATGTCATTTGTCATTAAATATGAGCAGATGATTTAAACCAATGAAACAAATTCGATTCGCGACATTTGTAAGTTACAAATTTTCATGTGCCAGTAATTAATTTAAACACAAGAATTGAGTTAATATTTGCATAATTATTTTCGACCACAATATTCCTCCTATTGAAATACAAAGAAAGTTATTGATTCAATATAACTAAACGTGATATCTTCACCCCACATCCAGGCTCCCAAAATAACACCAAAACTCAAAACTAACAAGAAGACGACCAACAAACCATGTACGCACACACACACGCGTTTACGCATACACACACATGCGCACGTAGGCGAACTCGCATGCACGCACAATCAAACAAACCTTACACAACAAACTTCACATGTTTTTATCAACATGACATCATTCCGTTTTTGTTGACTCTATACGTTCAGATTTTTTGACACATTCTCATAATATCATTTCAGCTGCAAATTCATACATGCTATGTGCGAGTTTTCCCACTCAACTGGGCAGCATCATCTAAGTCTTGGTCATCGTGGCGAATGCATGACAAGTACATTGCCCTCGCCAACAGCAGTTATTGGATCGACAATGCCTCCAGCAACATCGGTCATGGATTCAACAATTTCCACAGCAACGGTAGTTATGGGATCGACTATGCAACAAGTATCATCGGCCATTGGTTCAACAATGCTCCCAGGAACAGCGGTTCAAGGATCACCATCAACAATGCAACCAGCAACTGTTGGCACTTCAACTACCACGGTGATTGTGACAACCACAAAGGACCCTATTGCAGATATCATGCAAAAGGTGTTCTGTCAAAACGTTGCAACAATCAACTGTGGAAATTCGTTTGAAATCCTCTGTGGATCCGATGGACAATATTATCCAAATCAGTAAGTTTCAGTTATCAGAGAAGTAAGAACATTTAACGTGCTTCCCACGTGCTAGATATATCGTTATATTTTGATAATGAAACTATCAGGATCGTAATTGCAGTAAACTATATTTACATGGTACCCCGAGTCACGCATATGAAATGCCCACTATTTTATTTTATTTCATTATGCTATTTATTTTTGATGCACTTTTATACTTTTCAAAGAGTAACTCATTGTCAATACCTGGACTATCTTTTTTTTCCCTTTGCGTTTTGGCATTAAGTACAGTAATAGTGATTTAGTATTTTGTATGAAAGTCAAAATTCTACTTTGTTTACATTTTGCTACTTTTATGACAAATAATTTTACATTTAGTGCTGCTTTCCTCGGGGAACATGCATCTAATATGCTATTAATCCATTATTTAAACAAATAAAAAAAATCATGCTTTTCTTTCCTAAAGAGGAAGAATTTATTCGTTTTTGAGGAATAATGTGCCTTTAAACTTACCAAAAGTTCATTGAAATTCGACCTACACCCACCATCAGGTCCCATATCTTATATTCGGTACTTTCAGAGTAAATCCATTGGTTATCATTGTCAAGCTTAATTACCATTGGCATACTAATGAGACCAATGTTTACAAAACTTGATATTGATAGTATAATTTGCAGACAAACTAGTGCTATGGTAGTGTCGGTAAGTTGGAATCCTTAAAGAACGCAAAAATTGGCATAACTTACAATGTTTCAAGCTTGGTTTGATTGAGCCTATTCACTTAAATGTTTCAATATAATTTATGATTTTATGAACATATGTCATGTTAAGTCAACTGTGAAAAGTTGTCCCGTACTTCACTTCAGTGTTGTATTATTTTCCTGGTCCTTCGGGATCATTGGTGCCAGCACTATTGAGTGTTGAGAATTGAGTACCGCTCAATCCAGTGCAAGGGGGCGTGAGGGATGTTGCAGGTATTCATTATCCCTTATGTACAGACTCAATCAAACCGAGTCTGCAATTCTCTTGTAATTTTGTTGTGATTAATGCTTCCGAGGAATCACTTTGTTTCCAGATTTTTAAAGTCAATATTAAATGCTTAATTTATAAGAATGAACTTAATCTGTAAAAAAATAAACAAAGTAGTAAAGATTTAAATTATTTTGATCATGATATTGAACCCTTATTTTGCTAAACAAGGGGACAGGTTGTTGAAACTTTTTTCTCCTTTTAAGATTGCAAAAATAAATAAAACAAAATTTTGACAAAACCAACTGTCGAGCTGAAGATTGTTGTATGTTTGTGCCATTGTAACATTGGTTTACAATAGGTACCATTGAGTATTATTTTGCCAATGACTTAAGAGGATTGACAACATCGGTTGAAAGTGAATTGTAAATTGAAATGTAAATTGTTATTTTTTTTTGTATCATATCACAAACTCGCATGTAAACTTAATTCTATTTTCAGATGTGAGATGTCAAAACAAAAATGTAAGGACCCATCACTTACCGTGGCCGACAAATCTGTCTGTCCAGTTTCGGGGCGATAATTGATAAAACATCTTTATTGTATTCTTGGGAAAATACAAATATATTAGTTACTGTTTCAATGGTTTATTCTTTTTATTCTATACCATCAACATGCTAAATTTCTTGAATTGACTTGTCCAGCAAGATGCATTTTTTCAAATCCATTATCAAATTTGGGAAAACCAAGATAAAAATTTGAATGTGCAGGTTGGTCTGGCCCTATGCTTGTGAGAAAGGCTTGATCCTTGAAGATCGTTCAGCACGACATTATTGTTGTGCTAGTGGTATTTTAAGTTTAAACTTTTCGGCATTTTCTAGTTGGGTGGTTCCAATATTCCTACTTGAATAATGTTGATTCACCCTTAGGATATGTTGCCTGCTTTTTATATTTGTCTTTTGACGTCTTATCTGTGATATGCAGGCTTTATAACCTCTGATCCCCTTTCAAAATTCTATTTTAATTAGTTCCGCCCATTGTTTTCTCGTTTAGGGCACACGCTTTTTATTACTTGGGGACCATACGCCGCTTTTCATGGAATGGCACGGAAGTGTCACATTGAAGGTTCCATGATAACCGCCGTAAGAACACATCTGCGGATGTTTCTAAATTCAAAATTTTACTATTTCATGATTAAATGTTGAATTCTGCTTAAGCCGGTGCTAGGGGGCGTGGACGGTAACTTGCACTTTCCAGTACCGTCCATGAACAGGCTCAATCAAACCGAGCCTGCAACATTTTCAATTTTGTCGTGTTGGGCTTTCTTTAGGGATTCTGTATTTATCTATTTTATGGTCACATCCGTGTTATTTGTGTCGTGTGGCGGCTGTAAAAAGTCTCCCCATACATTTAATCAATGATGTTATATTTTCGATCCTTGAAGATCGTTCAGCACGACATTATTGTTGTGCTAGTGGTATTTTTAGTTTAAACTTTTCGGCATTTTCTAGTTGGGTGGTTCCAATATTCCTACTTGAATAATGTTGAATCACCCTTAGGATATGTTGCCTGCTTTTTATATTTGTCTTTTGATGTCTTATCTGTGATATGCAGGTTTTATAACCTCTGATCCCCTTTCAAAATTCCATTTTAATTAGTTCCGCCCATTGTTTTCTCGTTTAGGGCACACGCTTTTTATTACTTGGGGACCATACGCCGCTTTTCATGGAATGGCACGGAAGTGTCACATTGAAGGTTCCATGATAACCGCCGTATGAACACATCTGCGGATTTTTCTAAATTCAAAATTTTACTATTTCATGACTAAATGTTGAATTCTGCTTAAGTCGGTGCTAGGGGGCATGGACGGTAACTTGCACTTTCCAGTACCGTCCATGAACAGGCTCAATCAAACCGAGCCTGCAACATTTTCAATTTTGTCGTGTTTGGGCTTTCTTTAGGGATTCTGTATTTATCTATTTTATCATTTCAAGCAGGGTACAGCACGAAAAAGGTTAAGTCCCTGTGGCGAGATATACGAACTAAGCACTTATTTTTCATGAACAGACTATAAAACAACAAGTGTCATCTAAAACCGAATATTGTATGCGTTTTAAACTATTTTTTTGTGTTTGTGACTCCACAGTGACATTATGAGTGAATTTTTTTTCCGGTCTATGACATAAAAATTGATACGCTTAAGTCTGTTTAACATGGTAGAGTAGCTGTACTTTGCCGAAAGATGACCCTTTTTAATTTCTTGATCGTTATGTCATAGGTCAAGGCCACGGCGACGTAAAAATCCTTGTTTAATCAATTACTGGAGTTCCTGACGGTCATAGGTTTATGAATATTATTAGTTATAATACTATTGCTGTCACTTATTAATACATGTATAACACTTTTCCTTTTTTATTGTCTAGATCAATTACTTAATAACAACAGCAGTTTGTCCTGATCAAGGAGCAAACTTTCGATCAGAGACCGTTAAAATTAATTATGCAAAGATAAAAAAAAAGACAAAACCTTGTGGACAAGGGAAGTTCTGAAAGATTAAATAATTTAAGCATCGTGCTGTGCTAAATGTACCAACGTTCATTATTTCCCAAAAGTTGAAAGTAAGATCAGAAATACCAACAGTTGATAAGATTTTATTTAATATATCTTATAATATTTAAGCACAATGGTTTGGTTATCTACTGCTATCAACATAGAAAAATACTTCAACCCTCGGATCTACGACCATTCCCCGACTTCTAGTTTAACAACGTCAATTTCAGACTACTTTAAAATAGAAAATTCTGAAAACGAAGGTTCAAAACGACAAAATTAAAATTCAAAATGCTGCAGCCTACACCAGATAGGGTATCTTTGCCAAATCTATTATTAAAAAGGTATCTATCTTGATTGAATCATTTGCATTCCCCCGCCCCCTTGTTTTCTCATTTTATTTGCTTATTATTTTTGCCTAGCAAAAATGTTTACGTACCCCTTTACAGATAAGTAGGTATCGATATAGGTGGGTTGCTGTATATCTGTGGCTGCTGTGAAGAAGGCAGCTAGGTAGGTAGGTAAAACAATGAAGTGTAATCTTAAAAAACTAAGAGTTGAAAGCTTTGAAAAAGAACAGTTTTTTTTAATCTCATTGAGCAGACTGTATCGATAGCAATTATATTGACCTTTTCGAAAACCTAGCTAAACACCGTTTTCCGGTACGTTACCGTTTTAGCTCTGGGGAATTACACCAAATGAAGTACATAACACAGTCACGAGATATGTCTATTTTTCTATCATTATTTAACCGTTTAAGGTGAAAAAAATGATGTTTTTGAAGATTATCAATATTCGTTTAATATCTATTGCAAAGTATTCAAAAAAAATTGTTTATAATGAAAATCAATAAAATTCAAACAGACGTAGTGGAATCTTCCATAATAAATAAGGTTATTTTCTGCGTAAACTTGTGTATTTACTTTATTTTTTGTATGGAATTATTCATACAATGATATTTAATTATTTTCTTATAAAGAAATAACTGTTTTATTTCAGTTTAATTTAAAAAAGGCCGAAAACATTTAGTTCGCTATTATACATTCCATTAGGTGAATTCCCCAGAGCTATGTACAGAAAGTACCGGAAAACGGCGTTTAGCTAGGTTTTCGAACCACAAGCTCTTTTCGCGGGAAAAAGATCTTTTCTGTATTTAATCATACCGGTATAGCACGTCTCTTAACGAGAATTATACTGGACAAAATTTACCGCTTAGAACAATTCAAAATGTAAACAAGTTGCACAACCGGCACAAAACCGAAGAAATACTGTAGCTGGTGTTTAAATTATAAAAAAAAATTCCTTGTAATAAGTGAGTATAAGGTAAGCAATTTTTGATAAGATTTATGTTTTATGAAATTGATAGATACAAGTAAAAATCATTTTTTTAGACAAAATTAGATTCTAAATTTATATTTTATCAACTTTTTCTGTTTGGTTATCTGCAGGATAAGACCTCTCGTCTATTCTGTTGAACATTTGTTATTCAGCAAACATCACTCTGTCCAGTAGTCCAATATATCAGACGTTACAGGCTTGTTATAGTTTATGTTGGTCAAGCCTGTTGCTGTGCCCAGAAGCTAAACTATCTCAAAACGATGTCATGTTTAAAGGACTATCTGCCCAGGTGATTGTTGGGATTTCGAGTCAACTCGTCCCGTGGTCAACTCGCCCTTTATTTACTTGGCATTCATGACACATATTTTCTTTCATTCAACAGACTAAAAATTCCACAGGGACCCAGCACAGTGTTGGGATAGTGTAAAAAAGTAATTCTATAAAAAAAAATATATACCTTATATATAATATATAGTCTATATATTATATATAAGGTATATATTTTTTTTTAGAATTACTTTTTTACACTATCCCAACACTTTGCTGGGTCCCTGTGAAAAATTCTGTTAAAAGTGAAAAATTTAAAATGCCCAACTTATTATCTGAATTTAATTATAGTAATACATATCTGTCCAGACATAATTATGGTATTGTATAATTGTAGTGCCAACAATTGAGGCAATTTTAATAGCCTCCTGCATAGGCCTAAAGTACAAGTATCGAAATACTCGGACATAAACCAACTACATGAACCCATAAATACCAAGGACTTTACACGCAAGCTCGAGATGGTCCAGAGGAGAGCTGCAAGATATGTGACGAACCGCTACCACAACACCATAAGCGTATCCTCCATGATCCAACACTTGGGGTGGGAAGACATTAGAGTCACGATGGACTTAAGCCCAGCTGACCATGATGTTCAAGATCTCCAAGGACCTTGTAGACATACCAGTCAGCGATTACCTCACCCCTGCTCTGAGCCGCACTAGAAGTGACCTCTCCAAGAAGTTCCATCAACCATCCACATCTACATCGTACTACAAGAACTCCTAAATATCTTAAATGGGCTTTTCGATCTAACAAACTGGACAAAAGCATTCATGGTTTTCAAGGAAAATTTCGAAATATGTAGTGACTGAATAGCAAACAGTGATGATCTGTGTCGTCTGATTGTGGTATGCAGTGTTAATGTGTGTATCCATCCGAAGGCAATGGGTTAAATATTCTCTGTTTTATGCTTGAATATATATTTTCAGGACAAAATGCCAAAATATCCAAAAGGTATCCTAGGTGTGAGGAAGGACCCAAAGAACCAGATTCTGTTTTCATTTAGTGCAAGACAAGGAGATGAATGGCCTTCAGATGATGATGAGGATTCAGATTATAAACCTGGGTATGTATTGTCTTATTTTCTCTCATTTATAAAACTGGGGTCAACTAACAAGACTGGGCCATTAACTTTTTTAGGATTTAACTCAATATAGTGTTGAAGCATTACCTATAGAGGCTTGTAAAAATCATGATCACAAAGTAGGAAAAAATCACCTTTGTTTTGCCAATTCTTATATTTTTCGTTCATTTAATATTGTACATTAAAAAATTTTGTATATAAATCAAGGTGAAGAGATGAATTTGATGTTTTAGAGTTCATTCTGTTGGGTAAAAAGGCAAGATTTAAGCATTTAATCATTCAAGTGCCTTTTCTGGTATGTACCGGAATACAGTATTTTAATTCACAGTTTATAAAGTGTTGTGCTCCAACACATTTTTTAGTCTCACTCATTTTATTATGTTATAATTTTTTCTCTTGGGTAAAACCCTGAATGAATAATGTAATCTTTCTATTCAAATTTGGGTTTTGATATACATTTGTAGATTAAAATTTAAATAGCTCACGAAAGGATTTATTAGAACTCTGCACTGCTCATTTCAAGTTTTCTGACAAAAGTCATGAAAATTATTTCAGTAAAATACATGTTCTGTTCTGTGATTGTTTATAAATGTCCATTGCAAGATTTTTTTTCCTGACCATTTATTTGTCATCATTGCTATGAAATATTTACATAATCTAATAACAGCATAATGTTTAACATGGACACCTTCTTCTGTATATATTTTGGGTGAATTTTTGTAATTTCAAGACATTTTAATTATTTAGTCAAAATTGTCGATTTTGAAATGGTTTTGATTATCAATCAACAAAAAATATCAGCAATACATTAATGTTGTTTCTATCATTGACGGCTGTGCATGCATTGATATGAAGTTTCTGGTTAAAGGGGACAATTATTAAAAAAACTGTAAACGGTGAAATATTTTTTATAAAAATTTATAAACAGTAAAAGTATGTTGTTTTTGTGATCTAATGACTAATTCTCAAAACAATTGTCACATAGAATGTCACCATTGTCTCTGAAGGAAATATACTATACCAACATATTTCTTTTATACAAATATTTTGGTAATTTTCTTTTTTTTAAAATTCAAACTGTAATATTGTAAACTACAGGCCTGACATACAGCAGATATACAGATTTATACAATTTAAAGCTGAACTAAATGTTACCCCAATGCTCATGCAGATATGTAGGGTAGCTAAAATATGATAAACAAGATCAACAAGGAAAGGCTGCGTTCAATGAACGCAACCCCCAATGTAGGGTACCAGACATTTATGTAGGGTAGCTAAACATTTTTCTGATTTGTTGATCTGGAAGTTTTAACATAAAAATTGGGAAAAATATGTAAGTTCAGCAAGGATTTTGACTGAATTTATTATACCCATTTGTATACTTACAACATTGCCTTTTTTCATTGAATCCATCATTGAATTACTCCCCTTGATGCTTTTTTATGTCAGTCATACACATCATAGTTATCATAGTTTTAGGTCTACGATCTAGTCTAAAATAAAATTTAAATTTGAAAAATGATGTTGAATGTGTTCTTACAGGAAAGGCTCAGACTCGGACAATGAGGGTGCAAGCACAAGCAAACAATCACAGAAAAGAAAAATAAAGCACACAAAGACAAAAAGAAGCACAAAGAAGAAAGTCAAACAGAACAATGATAAATGTACAGACAAAAGAACAAGGCCAAACAACACGAGAGACCACGATCATCCAGCTTTCCACGGTAGGTTTAATTAAGGGTCTCCATGGCAAAGTCGCTAATGTCAGTTTTGAAATTAAAATCATAAAAAAATTCTGTCTGTGTAAATTATGTTGTTTCAAGACAAGAGTTACTTTTACTAACATTAACTTATTTAGTACAGGTTTGTAATTGCTAGGCTTGTTTTTTGAGTAAGATTGGGCAGTATAATAAACCACATGTACCACATGTGCTATTTTCTTTCAATGTAAAAAGAAAGGCGTCTTCTAACTGTTTAAAAGGCCCTGTCATAAATACAACAAAGGTGAAAGGTTTATATCTTCTACTAAGGTGAAGTTCCCTCATTACCAACAGAAATTTGGGAGAAGATCTTCAAGATAATAGTTCAAAAGGATGGAGCATTACCATTTTTAGAAAGGTTTGATTTTGTTATAATTTCTTTTCCATTTCAGTATCAGACTTTAATTTGTTAAATATATTTTGTAACCAGTTTCTCTGACATAAGTATATTTTATGACCTGTTTCTCTTACTATGACACACATTTATTTAGCGACCAGTTTCCCGGACAAAACTTTATTTAGCAACAAGTTTCCCTAACACATTTATATAGCAACCAGTTTCCCTGACACAAATTTATTTTGCAAACAAGTTTCCCTGACACAAATTTATTTAGAAACCAGTTTCCTTTTTTCTCTAAAAAATGATGTTTTCTGTATTATAAATTCGTTATAAAGATTGCTGACAGGTTATATGGCCGTATATAAACGGCTGTTTGCAATATAACCCTCGCCTAGCGGCTTGGGTTATATTTACAAATAGCCGTTTACATGGGGCCATATAACCTGTTAACAATCTTTATAACTAATAATATAAACATTAAAACAAGCAGTATAAACAGCAGAATAGGTAGGACCATATGTGCATACTATGTAATAGATACTTTCATTATTAGCTTGACTATTCGATAAGAATAAGTAGAGCTATTGCAGTCAACCGGGCGTCAGCGTCTGCGTCGGCGTAACCACTTCTGTTAAAGTTTTTGTAATAATTCAAATATTTTCAAAGTCCATCGACATATGGCTTTGAAACTTTGCACATTGGTTCACCATCATGACCCCAACCTGTAGACAGGAGAAGGTAACTCTATCAAGCATTTTGACAGAATTATGCCCCTTTTTCGACTTAGAATTTACGTTAAATTTTTTGCAATACCTAAAATATTTTCGAAGTTCATTGACATATGGCTTTGAAACTTTGCACACTTGTTCACCATCATGACCCCAACTTGTAGACAGGAGGAGGTAACTCTATCAAGCATTTTGACAAAATTATGCCCCTTTTTCGACTTAGAATTTATGTTAAAGTTTTTGTAATACCTCAAATATTTTCAAAGTTCATTGACATATGGCTTTGAAACTTTGCACACTTGTTCACCATCATTACCCCAACCTGTAAACAGGAGGAGGTAACTGTATCAAGCATTTTTTTTTACTATCAAGCACTTAGAATAGTCGAGCGTTGCTGTCCTACCGACAGCTCTTGTTACATTTACTTATAATTAAAGGGCTTCTAAAGTATGCAAGCTATGGAAAGATATAAGTGTACAGCCTCATCTATGGGAAAAAGTAGACATGTCATTTGGATGGATGAATTTAAATGAGACAGCTTTGAGGCAATATGTCAAGAGACTTTGGGCTGGTAAGAACTAAATGCCGGGTGCAAGATAA